GTATTCATTGGTTTTCTCAATTAAGATTTTAAGCGTATGTAGATGGTCGATTGTGCTGTATCCTTTTCTGAATCCGGCCTGTTCCACTGGTTGGTAGTTATCAAGTTTATAGGTTAGTCGGTTGTTTATTATTCTTGTGAAGGTTTTATATAGTTGTGACAAAAGGGAAATAGGACGGTAGTTGTTTAGGTCTGTTCGGTCTCCTTTCTTATGTATTAAGATTGTGTTGGCATTTCTCCATTGTTTGGGTATTTTACCTTCAAACAGACATTTGTTGAACAGTATTTTTAGCATTTTTTTATCGTGTCTCCTTCTTTTAGCAGTTCCGCCAGTATTTTGTCCTCACCGGCCGCTTTATTTCTTTTCATGTCGTTTATGGATTTTTCGATTTCATCTTCAGTTATTTCTGGTAATACCTCTGAGCCAACATTTTGTATTTTCCTCGTGAGATTCTGTTTAGATGATAGTGGTGGGTCATTTTTAGAACTGTATAGGTCTGTGTAATATCTTTCTGTGATTTTTACTATTTCTCCTAGATCTCTTTCTTCATTGTTCTCAGCTTTAAGCATGATTAGTTTTCTTTTTCCTATATTTGTCTTCATTGTTTTTAAACTTTTGTTCTTCTCTATGATTTTCTTAATGCGGTCTTCTTGGTATTTCTTTAAATCTTCCTTTATCTGTTTTCTTATGGTTTTATTCAGTTCGGTATACTCCACTGTATTTCTTTTGTTATCGTTCAGTAGTTGTCGTCGTTTTTTAGCATATCTTGTGATTTAGCGCTAATTTTTTGTTGTTTTCGCTTTTGTTTATTAGCAATCTTCAGGGCTGCTTCTAGTAGTTCTGTTGTTATTTTATCGTTTAATTCGTCTAGTTGCAGACCCTTTAGCTGTGATATGTCACTTCTTTTTAGCTGGTTTATGTATTGTTCTTTGCGTTCTTTAAGAAGTTCTGTATCTATCTCTTTTTTAGATGGTTTAAATTTTTTGTCTGTCTGTTGTGGAGTTAATTTTGATTTTGGCTCTAACAATTCTGTCATCACTTCCTACGGAAATCATGTTTATGACCGTAACGTCTTGTACTATGCTCTTTTCTTTGGATAGGATGTAATCAATCTCATTTTTTGTTAAACCATTGGGCGCGACCCACGTCCATTTTCTCTGTGGTTTTTTATTGAAAAAGGTATTCATCGCATATAGACCGTTCGTTTCCATATAATTCATTAATGTTTCTCCTCTTTCGTTTCGTGTTCCATATCCAAAGTTGCCGATTTTATTTTCTGATTCTTCTAGTTTTCTCCCTAATTTGGCATTGAAGTCGCCTATAATGATTGTGTAGGTGCTTTTGTATTTGTTCACTGTTTGTGTCAATGATTCGTAGAATATATCCACATTTGATGCTAGACACTGCATTATATGCATCCATATATTTGATGCTGGACACAATGAACGTCTCCAAGAGGGACGATGGAACAATGCCATCGGAAAGTGGCGTCCATACAATGCAAAGAGATCAAGAGGCAGACCACAGATGAGGTGGAAAGATGACATCAGGAAACAAGGAGGTCCCACATGGCAGAGAACAGCTCAAGATAGGGAAAGATGGAGAGAACTGGGGGAGACCTATATCCAACAATGGAAGGATAAAGAATAGGTTCAAAAAAAAAAGTTTTGATTATAGGTAGGCAAAGATCAATACATACACCAGATTCATCGATGATGAACTTAATTTTTCAGTTGATTCAGTGTGATGCAGCCCGATAGGGTTTTTATATTGATATAACTTTTACAAAAGATTTTTGAAGTGAATACTTCTTATCACTCGGTATGATGTTTTGCACGGGTACGAAATCATATTTAGCGTGACTCGAAAAATCGAGACGGGTGTAGTAACCTAGCGGTATACCGTAATATACATATTATATATACCTATACTTATTATAATTTTATATAATATATTTTTTTTATATCAACTCGAGAAAGACTTCGTTAGTTTTGATTGAAACTATTTGTATGAAATAAAATAAAATAAATTAAATAAAATTATAAAAAATCATAAAACATAAAAAAATTAAAAAAATATATATAAGAAATGAAATAAAATTAATTAAATTATAAAAAGATAATAATGACAATGGCTGTAATGAATAAATTCTATATTATATTTAACAAATTTCAAAAATCATTAAACAAAATATTTAAAGCAAAAAGTTAAAGAACTTAAGTGTATAGAGTAATTATAAAAAATTATGTTTTACATTTTTCGTCCCATCCCTGAGTATATTCTATACGATATCCTCTGGCTATAGTTTTCTTCGCTGTAGTGATAACCGCGCCAACAAATCTCCTGTAGTTGTCTACTTGTCTAAAAGACAAAGCATAGGTCTGGCTTGTATTCTCATCGAAAAGATTATAGAAGTGTCAGCATTTTCTCTCCAGCCAAACTCTCGCCGTTTTGATCACTTTGTCTATACTTCCAGAGTTCGTGACTGTTGAAGTCTCTAACATAAACTGAGAGGTGTGTTGCTAAAAGTAATTCTCCCAATTTTTTTGGTAATTGCATGAATATTTCTGATATATGAAGAAGGGTATATGAAGAACTCAGAAAAGATACAAAGAAAATATGTAGAAGGAAAAAGAGAGAAATGTTAAACAGAAAAATATAGCTAATTACAGATTATAACAGAAGAGAGACTAGAAAATTTTACAAGGAAACCAAGCAATACACCCAAGGATACATGACAAGATCAACAGTTTGCAAGCACAAAAATGGAGCAATTATCAGCGAGAAAGAGGAAATAATGAAAATGTGGAAGGAGCATTTTTAAGAGCTGTTAAACCCAGAAAAAGAACAAAACGAAGATGAAGAAATAATTCACCACATAGCAGAACATCTAGTTGAGCAACCAACATTGGAAGAAACGATAAACGTAATGAAACATCTAAAAAATAACAAAGCACCCGGCACAGATGGAATAACTGCAGAGCTGATAAAGAATGGTGGACATGCGCTATGGAGGCGTATCCATATCCATATATAGCGCATACAATAAAATCGACCGCATATGGACACTAGAAGTGTTCCCAGAATATTGGAAAGTAGGAATCATACTTCCTATGTACAAAGGGGAGACGACGAATGTCGTCTACAAGATCGTTTTCGGAGGAGATGATTGGTGAATACCAATGTGGCTTCAGACCAAAAAGGTCAACTATAGACCAAATACATATGTTAAGAGGTATATATGAAAAATGTGTTAAATATAACATACCTATTTACAACTTTTATCTCGATTTCAAACAGGCGTTTGATGGAGTAGATCGACAAAAGATGTTAAAGCAACAATCTACGTTAGGGATACCCAATAAGTTGGTTAAACTTATACGAATGACTCTGGAGGGTTCCAAAGCTATGGTGAGAATAGATGGAGATATGACGCAGGCCTTTGATATTGAAAATGGAGTTAGACAAGGTGATGCCTTATCAACAACACTTGTAATCTAACTTTAGAAGCTGTTAAAGGATTAGAAAACTGGATATAAACGGCTGTATTAATACAAGATCAATGCAGATATGCGCATATGCGGATATGCTGCATAATAAGCCGCAACAAAAGGGTATTAAGCGAAAAAGTTATAGAACTGAAACGAGAAGCTGCTACGTTTGGTCTATATATAAATGAAAGCAAAACAAAATATATGGAGTGCACAAAATCGAATCAACATGAGAATCTGAAGGTAGACAACCATACCTACAAATATGCCTCCACTTTCCCTACCTAGGCTCAATAATAAATGACAACAACATCAGTCAAGAAATACAAGCACGGATTCTTAGCGGTAATAAGTGCTTTTATGCATACAAAGACTTAATGAAAAGTAAGTTACTGAATCGTGAGTCTAAGCTTAGAATCTACAAAACAGTAATTAGACCAGTGGTCACATATGGATGTGAAACGTGTATCCTTTCAACCACTGATGAAAATCAACTGAGAATATTTGAGCGCAAAATACTAAGGAAGATATTTGGACCAACCCAATGCAGCGATGGTTCGTGGAGAATTAAAATGAACCACGAGCTGGATGAACTAATGCAGGGCGCAGATATTGTTAGATTTGTAAATTCACAAAGACTAAACTGGCTTCTTCACCTCGAAAGAATGCCAGATAATCGAGCTGTAAAAGTAGTCCAGAGATGGAAGCCCCAAAGAAACAGAACAAGAGGAAGGCTCCATAAAATATGGATAGACGACGTAAAGAGGGATCTTAAAACCATTAACATCAGGAAGTGGCTAAGGAAAGTGTTCGACAGGGCGCCGTAGAAAAAGAAGAAGCATAAATATTTCCGAACCGCATGAACAGCAACACCTGTCTGATGTAGAACATATATGGGCATTTTCTATTTTGTTTCGAACAGGTTACTACCCCATAAGCTGGATGATAAATTGCACCTACCTAATAAATCATAGCCGTGAATTCTTCCTCTAGAATTTGCTCTTCATTTTCTACATGGTTTTTGTGTATTGTGACCACTTTATTATTATTTGTGTATTGTGTATTATTTGTGTGCACGTGCAGTATTCTATATCGGACGCTAACTAGCATTACACCCCACTTCTTCGGTGTTCAACTGTTATCCCTACTTAGAGGCGAGGTTGTGATGCTATAGATAGACCGTTATTCTAACCAGAAATCTACTGTTCGGACTTGCCAAAAGTGGTATACCATTTACATCTACTGATATTTTAGCAAATTGTATTATGCAGTCGATAATACTGACTTCGTAGACCCGTACTTAGAGTTAAAATCGATTTATGACAATTTGTAACATACCTCGTTGTTCGGCCGAACTCTTCAATTGACGACCCATTTTTTGATATCAGTAAAAGCTACAAATTCACAATGATGAGATCATTTTCATCCTTGTACTTAATTCGGAGCAATAATTAAAATTGTGAGCTTGTTGTTTTGTTTATTTTGCCTAATTCTGTGTTTTTGTTTTAGGTTATACCCAGGCTTAGAATGGATAGTAAGCAGACTGAAAAAGAAATGACATTTCTCCGACCACACCTAGATTTAATTTAATTTAATTTTTTGTTAATTGTAAATTTTCGACATCCTACACACTCCTGTACAGACGTTTTCTCGTATCGAGAAAAGAAAAATCTCGTGAGATTCTTTTTCATAACGACTGTTATTGCATTTTTGTAAAGAAAAGGCGTTTTCGCCATATACTTGCGTTTTTGTGAAAATAATTTACTAAAAAGTGATGTTTTAGTCAACAAGTATGTAAACGTTATCGAACTATATTATGTTTGTTCACATCAACTGCGTTTAAATAATAAGCATTGGTTTTTGTTTAAACCTGAATAATATACATCGCAAAATCAACGAAAAAACTTTCTGATTTACCAGAATAATTTTGAGATATTTTGTGATCTGTGTGTACGTTAAAATAAAGTTTGGAATGAAGTCAACAAAATCATCATTTTTCCAGCACTTAGTGTAAAGGTTGTAAAATATCCTTAGCGTTTATTGTTTGCGTATTTATATCTACTTTTAAGTAAAAATGGTCTCGGTCATAAATATCCCTGATAATGGTATCTATGTAGCCCCACTACATGGAATTAATAATTAGAACTTGGTATACTCCTTATAACACTATCTGAATGGCATGCCCTACTAGATCTCACATATCAACTTTCCAATTATTCTCAGCTTTGTAGAATTTCTTTTGTCACTTGTTTCTTTATAAATGTTTCCAGTAAAGTCTTAGATCCATTTGCAAAGGTTCCAAAGTGGTTTGATGCTTTATTGTACTTGATCTAGCATCTCCGATTAAGTTAGATGTTTGTGAATTTTATTATCTACTCTGTGTTCTTCTGGTTGTTGTTCTAGCAAAATTATAGATTGGTATTACTATACCTTACTATTTTTGAAATCGTTTTCAATTTTGGATTTTTTGAGTCTTTTTTTCTAATTACGAGAGTGGCTCTAAGAGTTATAGGTCTGTAAGGAAAACTACAGTCTATATTTTTTTTTTAAAAGTTTGTCTGCAGCAAGAAAGGTCTTCAGTTTTGAGAATAACTGGAAGTCCCAAAAAGCACTATAAAAATCCAGCACTAAGTAGTGCAGATTCCTCAATTTTCTAAATGCGAAGGTACTTTTCTGAACAGAAGCATTGTCCTGATGAGGTTTTTTTCTTCTTTAAGCCAGATCTATTTTTACAAATGTTTGCATCCAGTCTCTCTAGAAGTTGATAGTATTCTCCGGCTATTCAAGAAAAAATGAAGTGAAAATCTCTAGTTTAATACAATAATGATAATATCCAAAATGAAAGTGAGCATCTTACGCATCCTTCTCTTTCTTTGATATCATCGTCCAAAACCATAGCATGACTCTTTGTCGATGATTTCCGGTGTTGCAGTTCTTGGACGTCCTTTGCGTTGATCATCTTACAACATTCTCACTGCCACCTTTAAATTCGGTTGCCCATTTCTTTACAGTGGAAATCAAAACTGAGAGTTTCTATAGATTCTAGATATTTATGAATATTTTGTTTCCATTTTCAACACTCGAAACTGCTGTAATATGCTGACTTATTTTCACCTATTCGTACCAACCAGGGTCGGATCCCTAGTGCTAGTTTTTGTATAATGTTTCTTTTAATAATTTTTGTACCTTAATTATATTGTAAAATAGAAATTAGAAATAAAATTAATTGTGGTAAGATGTGATTTTATACTTGTTGACTGAGCTAAGGTTGTTAAAAATTTTTGAAAAATTTATATATTTATTTTTAGATATACACTGAACAAGATAAAAGTTTTTTATATGTAAGAAAAACTCATGTTGGATAATATTTAAAAAAACAAAAAGTTGTCCCAAAAAATGTTACCATTTAGACATTATTGTAAATATTATTGATTTTTGTATTGTATTATAAGATATTTGTTATTTTATGAGACTACAGGAGCATTACTTAGAATAGAAGCATGCCATTACTGCGGCAAAATCGATTATTTTATCATGCGAGTGGTATAAGAAGTTTTGAGTTCTATTGTTTTAACTACAAAAACATTTCAAGGTAATTTCCTTGAAGGTCTAAGGAACTATCTACTTGTATTATTACATATTTCCTTGTCAGCTCGGCGTTACATCAGATGTAAAGGTGTGATCTTTTGTTAGAAAAGTAGGTTTTCTCTAATTTCCTGCTTGTCCTGTATTTCGTGGCCTCTTCCAGTCTGGTATAAACATGACCTGTATCTCCTCTGTTAACCACTATTGAAATAGTCCTGTATGTGCTTCTTCTTAGTTCAGACGAGACACGTTAATCTCTGACACTTGGTCATAAGACCTTTGTACCAAAAACTGCTTTTTTTTCCATTAAACCCCAATAAGTCCTGTGGCCTCTACTAAGGCCAACAATTTCTCCTTTGGCATTTCCACCAAAGTAAAAACCTCAACCTGGAACACAGTTGTATATTGACATATGTTATAATTACATGTTTGTCCAAAGACTCCTGATCCAGTACCGTGGGCAGTTTTAGATCCATCAGTGAACCATATTAAGTCCCTATTAATGTTTGTGACTTTTTGTTCTCTAGATGGTATGTAATTTTGTTAATTTTCTCGTTAAAGATTAGTTCTGTCCTATTATATCTGAGTTCATATGAAAGATGGATTCCTCGAGGATACCCCCTTTGGTATTTGTGCGACTATTCAATACATAATTCGGCCTCCAAGTATTGTTTGCTTTAAATCTCAGGACTAGAACTAAGACTACTGCCGAAATATATCATTCGAGCGGGGCAAGACTTGTGATAGCCTCCAAAGATGCTGTTTGAAGGCTCTAGTCATATTTAGAAGCGCTTGTATTTGTAGGGTGGTGGGAGAAGTCACGCAAGATTCAAAGCCGTCTGAAAGTTCTGAACCATAATATATGTAACTGCCGGTCGTATCACTGATATGTATAATTAACAAGTTACTTTTGGCTTCAGCCCTCAGGTTTTACCTACAACTCATCTGCAGTTCGCGCATAACCCTGTTGGTTATGTTATTGATATGGGCGTTCCAATTGAATTTGGAATCCAGATGCTTTACCCCATTAGTCCTTTCTAGTTCTTCCACAAATAATTTCAGCTTATTCAATCAAGTAAGCTTCCTCCTATTAGTAAAAGCTACTAGTTTAGTTTTAGAAGGGTTTAGAGAGGTTCTCTTTTATACACCAATTCTCTATGTAATTAAGGACATATCACATATGATCCGCAACAGTACTAGAAAATTTTCCTCTAGTCACTATTACATTTTATTTTAGTCTTGAATTTATCTATCTAATTAGCCTTCTTCGGTCCATCTTTGGACATAGGCCTCACCAATCCTTTTCCATTCTTCTCTGTCTGACGCTACAGTTATCCACCTAGAGCCCACGTACTTCTTGATATCTTCTGCCCATCTCACTTGGGGCCTTCTTCTGCTTCGTTTATATTCCCAAGGTCTCTAACTTATAAGAATTTTGTTTCATCGATCTTCTTTTTGTCTTATATTATGTCCGGCAAATCTCTATTTCAATTTTGCAACTTCTTGTCTAACATCCCTTACTTTTGTTTTCTCTTATCCACTTGTTTCTCTTTTTATCCATTAGTCTTTTGTGCAACATTTGTCTTTCCATTGCTCTTTGGTTTAGGTGAGTACGCATTGATTGTATACTTTGATTGTAATATTGTAATACAGGAAGATCATGACTATCATGAAAGATTATAGAACTATCAACATAAAGGAGGTCTACTCACAGGCCACTATGTACCTACTTTATTATTAACCCTTTACTAGATATCTAACCTAACCTAACCTAACCTAACCTACTTTATTATTAACCCTTTACTAGAAATCATCTTCATCAATCACATTATCCTCTTGATTACCCTTGAATCTGACACATTACTTTCAGAGTCTTTAGAATTAGATTGACTGTCAGGATTTTCTTCTTTTTCTTTTGTTTTTTTTTTTTTTTTTAATTTTATGCTTAATCATTAAGTAATTTCGGATTGTGTGCAAGTAGGTTATTTTAGCTGCTATTTGAGTTGTTAATCGGTTTCCTTTTTTTTTTGTGAATCCAGCGGAAACTATTGAACGTTCTTTGTGTCGGCTGATGTAACAGTGCTCCAAGAATACTTATTACCGTGTCAGTAACTTTCCATGTACCATGTAATCCGGTCCACCATAAAATTATTGTTATTTCCTTGTTTGCAACAACATTCCAGATAAACTGACATCTTCACAAACTTTCTTTATCCCAATAATCCGTTAAATTTTCACGAAGAAATTATATTCCAACATCACATACAAAACCCATAGCATCAAGAATAATTTCTTCAAAACAAAGCAGTGACTATAAATTGTTAGTATAATTCAATAGGATAGAAAATAATTGATGAAAACATTTTTTGTTCTGTGATTCAAAATAGTCATTTTTGTTTTATTACTATATTGGTAAAAACTTATTAGTTTGACAATATTTTACTTATTTTGATATGTTTGCCTTTAAAGCATAAATACCCTACGCACTGCCTATTTACCCTTCCCACATCACTTTTCTTGTATTTTTATATTACTTTTATTATGGATGGTCATGCAATACTGTGAAGTGTATCAAGCTTAGCAAAACCATCCGTCATTAATTTGTCTGACGTCACGGTTTTTTTTACTCTGTTTTGGCTTTATTAGTTTTATGTGTCGCAAAACAGATCTTCATTCAATACGAGCCCCAAATACTTTAGTGTTTATAACGATTTGGTTGTGATGCTGACTACTTAATAGCAAATGTTATCCCTGTTTCCAGGGCATTTGTTTGGTGGAGTCATAAGCTAAATGAATTTCATCCAGCCATAAATCATTTGTTTATTGCTTTTCCTTGTAAGTTTGTATTTTATATATTGTTCTGCATATCAATCTAGATCGTCTACAAACGTGAATGTTCTACAATGTATATATACAAGATGTCAAGTATTATCTGTACCAAATAGTTACAAATGCGCTTTTCTCGTCATTTGT